CTACCGGGGTCACTCACTGCACTTTTTTCTCCTCCAATTCACTACCTCTCCCCAATCGTCCACCGCTCGTCACAAATATCGTCACACCGTGACGAAAAGTTAGTTTTATACGGAAATTTCTTCACTTTAGGGGAAAAGTCCCATATATACTGAACAGTTTGGTATAAATGGGAACCTTGGATTCGATGGACAGGTTGCAAGTGTCCCTTGTCAGAAAATCAAGAATATTAAACAATCTAGTTATTATGGAAACTTAATGAATTCAAACCTACCAGTAATTAAAAATAAAACATATTTGCTCTTTTTTGCTATTTTTTTTGCACAATGCAAAATCGGGTAAATTTTTATGTACCTAATCTTGAAGCTAAATTTTAACTTTACATGTAAATATGCATTTTTAGCGGATTGTTAGTGCAAAAACTGCAAAATATACTGAGCAAAAAAGCAAACCTGGATCCCCATTAGCTGAACAGATTGTTAAAAACCCTTGAATACCTATGAAAAATCTGACCACAAAGATCCTTCACGGAAATTCCTTCATATTCGTATTTACCTAGAATTTCAAAATATTTACCCGTCGATGGTGGCGAGCTTTCGAATACAATGTAATATGCTCAAAATATTTAGTTATTAGAACTTCAAGATAAAACTAAAATCTTGTTCCATTTTTGCCCATTTACTTTCATGCTGCATGAAGCTTCCGGCGTATGACTCGTGGTCTGGCACAAGGGACCCTGAACGGACCCCTTACGTTTATTGTCGTTTTCGACCCATTCCTGAAACAACTCCAACAAGTGGCTAATCTGTCTCGCCTCCATGTGTGTGGGTTTGTGGATGATGCGACAGCAGCAGCCATTGAATCTACCCCTGATGACCTCACCACTACCGACCTACTACATGAAGCAACCCGAAATATAAAGATGAGCCTAAATGTGAAGAAAACGGTGATAGTCAAATGTGACTTTTCGAGAACTAAACCCAGTGACCACTGGCATTTCAATCTCTTAGGAGAAACAGTGCCACAACAACAACAAATGAAAGTGCTTGGGGTTATTATCAACAACAAATTAACATGGGATGACCAGGTTATTAGCATGGTGTCCAATGCGTCGAAACGCTTTTGGGCACTAAAAGCTATGAAAAAGCTCGGATTCCAACCAATCGAGCTGGTGGCGTTCTATAAATCCTCCATCATCCCAGTACTGGAATATGCATCGCCTGTATGGGGACATGCACTCACAACCCAACAAATGGAAGATTTAGAAAAGATCCAGTGCCGTGTTTTAAAAATCATATTTGGAAGAAGAGTCAAAATATTCTCTGTAGAATATATTGAGCTTCTCGATAAGTATGGTCTACACCTTCTAGATAAGCGTAGAGAGAATCAATTATTCAAATTTGGTTTAAATTTACTTAATAATCCCAAATATAGAAACTGGCTGCCCGATTTTAATTCCAACAATTCTAGACTTAAAAAGAAAAACTTTTTTGTTCCGTTCAAATGTAATAGGGTATGTTACCAGAATTCCACTTTACCAGCTATTGTCGATTTACTAAATTCTAGATTTCGAGAAAATGAACAACCGTTTTCAAAATATGTTAGCAATGATCCATGAAAATTGCCCTAAACTGATTTTAAAAATATATTACTTGTTATATATATTCCTAACTATACCTTCCATTTTTTATCTATATGTTAATCTTTCAAATCTATACTTAATTGATGACTAAGCGAGCCCGTCGATGAATCTTTATGATGTATTGTTGCTCTTTACTGATGAATAAATCTAAATCTAAAAAAGGTATATGTGTAACATATGGTATGTCGTCACTCACTCCAACGTTAAATTTGAATAGTCCGTGTGGGTAGCCCTTACAAGATAGAGAGATGCGGTAAAAAGCATTAGAAGCCCCTTCAATTTCTAGGGATAGGGTACGCACACGGTTTTTTGAAATTTTGTTTAGTTATTGCCCTATTCACCTTTCTGTGTCATGTGTCATATGGTCCTGGGGACACTAAAAACGTTCTCAAATGGTCAGGGTGCACGGTATATAAAAACGGTTAGCACAATAACATTCACAACCTATTTGGGCACAATAAGTGCCTGATGAGGTTTTTTGATATAATGCTTCCTTAATCCAGGAAAATTAAAAACGTCCATTCAGGACAGCGTCAGCCTCAAACGGGTGGAGCATAGACGACACGCTTTTTCGACCCAATCTTTATAAAATCGTATTCCAGATGGTCATGTGGAGTTCACTGTATGAAATTTTTTTCGAAATTTATATTCTACAAAATTTATGATCAATTTCGTTAAAAATTCCTCATGTAATGAAAAAATGGATTCTTTTCCGCGGTTTTACTGCATAACTTGTTTTAGAGTTTGTAATGGGAAGCCAGGTTTGCTTTTTTGCCCAGTTTTAATTCCCAACCTCTCAAATTGCCCCTTCACACTTCGCTCCATATCGACATGGCACCCGCGTAATTTGAACCCATTCGACAATGGCTTTCGATAGACCCATACGGTGAAATTCATTTGTTTGACTTTTGACCTCCCCCACAAGGTATCTGTAAGGTCAGAGACGTTGACGCCATTGACTTCTGGGTTATATTTCCTTCAAATTTGATACCCCACATGACGATCAACCTCTAAAAACACGGTCATGACCTTCTTGGCGACGTAATGACGAGACCTATGACCTCCATCGAATCTCACCTGCGCCTTGACCAAACAAACACGTTGGATGTCCTAATTCGTATCCGTTCAAAAATTATCGTGCATACGGACTGTCCGTCCGTCTGTCCGTAACGGACAGACGGACGGACAGACAAGGCAACACCAGAAAGGGGTTTCACCCCTTAGTAATGGACTACCAGGGGAACCACTTTGCGTAACTTTTGGTCAACCAAACCCAACTTTCCGCATGGACATATTTATTCTTAGGTGACTTTCCAGCCGGAATGCTTAAAAATGAATATATTAGACTGTTGCCCGCGAGTATTTAGTAAATTTAGAGACAAAATGAGCCACAAGTGCAAACCTAGGTCGTATCGATTTCACTGGATTTCACAAAAAAAAGCACAAACTGGTTTTTGGGTGAGAGAATGAATATAGTGTAGCTTTTTAGCCCGACCCAGGGCTTATGTACCCGTGTTGTCCGTCCGTCCGTCTGTCCGTCTGTCTCGCGATAACTCTCTTATACCAAGGTTGCAGTCGAGTATGGTACATGTAAAAATATTAGGTTTTTTTTTCAAAAAACGGGTATGTTAAAATTCTCACTGTGACCTCAATTTTTGACCGATTTCAAAAATTTAAACTGTTTTAGAAACCTCAGAAAATTTGGTTCATTTCCTATTCCCAAATTTTTTAAATATGACCACACCCACAAGAAATTAAGGTCACAAAACACATAAGATTTTTTGGAAAAAAGCTCTAATTTTATTACATGAACCATAATAGCGTTAGGCAGAAATTGGAACAACTGTACTTGGGCCGCGTTATTTATGCTGCTAATGATGGTATTGGGTTCACTTTATCGGAGATTTGGCTACTTCCGTAACAACATTGGTGAGGCCAACAGTTCCATTGACGTTACAGGATCTGGCGAATTCCCCTCTAGTAATTACAACACAAGCGTCATACCCAACTAAAAACGGGGATCAAAGCAATCTCGTCTATAAGATAAACGAAGTTGTATCTAGTTGGGCTGAAGATTTAGTCGTAGTTACCAAACTGAAGAAAATTATAGGTAGAATTTTTCTTACGACGCAACCCACAATAGACTTCGTAAATGCATTTACTAGCAGGGCCAAAGTAAGCTGTGACGCTGGACAATGTGAACATCCGTTGGGAGATTCTATGGAATTTATGGATACCCTAGATCGGCTGCGGGCAGTAGTGTGGTGTGTGGATTCGACAAGAACTCACATCACGATTATGGGAAGGGAAGAAACTCCATTTTTTGACAAGCGTATCTGGCTAATCAGGAAGTATTTTTTGTCCTCCGATTTCCTTACTGGTATATAATGGCTAGAACAGAGTGGAGTAATAGCCGTCTGGCAGGATCGAAGTGATTTATTACTGGACAGGGAATATTATTATTTCTTGAAAAATGTTGAAAAACTAGATACCTTTCGTAAGATTCTCGTTCAAAGGTGGTTTCACATGAAAAAGCGTATTCACGCCCTGTTGGTTTTTTCGGAAGTTACCAAGGAATCGTTAAACTATTGTTACGTTTTATTCTTTAGCCTGCTGTGTGGGGCACTGCTTATGTTTGGAAAGGAATCTTCTAGCATTACGAAAACTGCAATTTATATAAGATGGACATCACTAAGGTATAGCAAGTTTAGATGTAGGTGCAGACGTACATAACTTTAGGGCAAGGTGCGAGAGTATTTCATTGTAAAAACTTTAGCGTATTTTGAGTTCCATGTCACTTATATAAAAATGATAGGACCAAATACCAGATATTTCATAAACGTAATGATACAATTCCTGCTCCCTTTCTAAACAATGGTCACGACATTGAACAAGTGACTTGCTTAAAATACTTGTGAGTTGGAACTGGACTCCTCACTGAGACTTAAAACTCACTATGACACTAGAAGGAAACGTTTATCTGCTAATTTAGGATATTTATATGATCTTATAAGATATCTTACTGATACACTTTTATAACCGATAATCCAATGCCGAGTAAAACTAAACCCGTGGAGTGGTGTGGAGATGCACGACGCTGTGTGGGGTTGCGAGCCCAAAAAGTTAAAACATTACTCGGGTTTTGGTATCAGCTAACACAAATGTGAGTTACGCTGTTACTTCGCTCCGGGTTCATTTTAGTAGCCTGATTAACTTGAATTTGGTTATTATTAGTTAGTTCTTCTTACTTTTTTTATGCGTAAACGAAAATTCCTCGGAACCCGTGATTTACTTTGAATATTTATACATATATTAATTGACAACTTATAATTAATTATGTTCAATATGTTGTAATAAATTTGTTATAACTAAGTCTTGTGATTATGTATCTGACGGATTAATGCTTGAACCACAGCCTGTGGTTCGCAAACTACGATTCTACTACTTTTAAAACCCAAACCCCCCAAATTGTGTTCAATATTTAACAGAGTTGCATGAGAATTGCCTTCCATTTACTGACCAATGCAAAAATTTATTCGGGTCTGTGTGCTGTGAATCCCTTGCCACATGCGAGTGTGAGGAAACAGCATCCCAATATTACAGCGTTCCATATCGATATCAACTCCATGACCACTGCCTTCCAGAATCTAAGAATTAGAATGACGAAACTGTGTTCAGGTTGACGGATAGCACACTATTTTCACCACTTAGTTACATTCATTGTAACGGTTTATTAAAGTATTTAATTAATTACTGACATATTTTTTAGATAATCCTGATGTGAAATCCGCAGATGTTGACATTTTCCTATTCGTATGTTTAATTACAGTAATTAAATAATATGTAATTCAATAGATGGGCTGCCAGATCGCCGACATTTTTAATAGTGGATATTGAACTAAAAAAGAGATAGCCCCATTATTTAGTTACCTCCTCTACTTTATATTCTCATTATTTAAATATGTCTCACCAAAATGAACGATAGCACGATAATGATTCCTTTCAATCTGGGGTCTAACGTTGGCGAGAACGTGACGAGAGGTGCATCCCCTTCCCCATCACGACCCCATGACCCGACCTTCTCCCCATTAACTAATATCTCGTAAGACCCTCTGCAACAACAGGCAAAAAAACAGCATCCCCAGCAAGAAACTTTAACCTTTTTCATTGTCACAGTTCCACCTCCCGTGATATTCACGGTAAGAGTCTGCGCACCGCAAAAAGCCCAATTTCTTCCCAATGCGGTGTATGGCAGAGGCGTGTGGCGATACCTTGAAGCGAACACGCCCAGTGAAGTGCTCCCACTCCGAATATTGCTGCCCTTTTTGCAAAAAAAAACTTTACAGAATTTTGACAATTTAAAAGAGTACTGCTAAATTTTTAGTGTTACCGACAAATCATAGGTCGCCGTGACAAACTCGATGCCTTTGTTGTCCGTAAACATCATCGTGATAGCTCGTGCGATGTCAAGGTTCGCAACTACTTGTTCACTGTAGGAAAACATTTGGTGGTCCTCGGCATCAGACGCGTACCTCGTTGTCGGTCCTGGTAAACCATAGGTGTAAGTTGGCATACATGTTAACATTCATTCAGTTAATGATGAATAAATAAATTATTCATTCAATATTCGAAAATTTAATGAATATTGAACAAATATTTTATTCTGATTTTAAAATAAATGAATAATGCATGAATATTTCTTTCATCATTCATTTTTTAATCGATTGTTATGGTCGATGTAAAAATCTTTGTTTCAATCTTTCCTTTCAATCTTTGAGTTTTTTTTCTACGTAAAATGCGAATGTTAAAATTTTCATTGCGACCTAACCTAACCTAACCAAAGCATTTTGGACTGTTTGGGTTTTTGGTAACGCGTTTTCCAAGCTCTTCCAAGCTCAAGCACCAATTTCAATGACTACAGCTGAACAGGATGACCAAATTTTTCTTTGCAATAATCGTTTTCTTATTCACTCTATATGTGTTGTACAGATTAATTATTGTAAAGTCCATTCCTTCGAAGAGAAAATTCGAACGAATGTTTTTCCGGTCATGAAAGAACGCGTTTTCGTACGAGTGGCAAACTCTGTTTTCAACTTGTTTTGGCTTTCTAGCTACCATTTCTGAACGGACTAAGATATCTTAATTTGGTTTTCTGATCCTGTTAGCTCATTAAATTTCGCATTTAACACTAAGTTTCAAAATTTTAGCTTTCCCGCCAACAAAGATAAACGCATGGGAAACCTGTTGCCATACATATTTCCCACCCTATACATGCTTAGAGGGTGTAAAATAAGGTTTCCTTCTCATATGTACCCTCGCCAGCGATTTGTTTGAATTCATTCGTCTGTAGCTTCTGCATCTGCTTTTTTGGCAACATGGGGCCTAAGGTGACTGTGGGCATTTTTTCTTAGTGAGGCAACCAGGCAACAAAAAATCACGAAGTATGCATTGACTATACCCCAAAAAAGTGACATTGTCAGATTTCTCAGTCAATTTTTAACCGATTTTGATGAAATTTTTAACCAGATCATTGTTATGCAAGTTAAATTCCAGATCTGGTCAGGTTAGGTTAGGTTAGGGAATATCTTAAGTCTTACGTGTTTTATACGATAAAATATGCCGAAAAATGCAATTTGTCACACATTTAAATTTATTGCTAATTACTGATACACAGTAGATGTTTTTCTGAAGAACCACTTCTAATGCTAACAATTGTGCAAATTTAAAGCGCTTTGTGATCAAAATCGATTAAGAATTGACAAAGATATTCAAGTTTTAAATCCGAAAAGATGAATGGGAATTGGTAAATACAATGGTAAAAAATAATGTCATTGACAACGTGTATGCAAGTAAAATCAAAGTGCAAACAAGTAGAAATGTTTTCTTAAAAAACGGTCTCAGGTGAGGACTATGAACTAAAGCCCATAACTGCTTAGTTTGGTTGCTAATATCAACCTTATTTGAGGTTGATAAAAGTAGAATTTAAAAAAGTAGCTGCAGATGCCACCATTAAAAGTTTTTCATTTCTCAACCGATAAACGCCGGATTTGTTTTAATCTAAGCCTAATTAGATGCTACACCATAATTTCTAATCAAAGCAGTACATTAATCCGAAAAAAGTCGTGCATAACTCGAGTACAAAGTTTAAAACCTGTTTAAAATGAAGTAGGAGTAATTTATTGCGGCGTTTGAATTGAAAATATAGTGCCCATCGTCCTTCCGCGCAATTTTTGCTTTGAGAGTTTTTTTGTACCACAAACCCATCGACTCCTATCTTTGTGCACGCAATTAGAGAGGTGGGGGGTCTAAAAGCAATCTAAGGCTTCGCCGTAACCATGACATTTTTAATGCACCATGGTAACTTTCCTGACCTGAGAAAAATGCAGAAAAATCAATAATTTTGATCTCTTTCATTGCATTTGGAGGAATGTGTGATGTTTTATAAATAACCCAATTACAAGTATTAAATAAACAAGGTCCCAGAAAAGGGAAAATCTTAGTGAGGATTGGCACAATTACAATATTAAATACATTTTGGTTGCAGAATGTTTGCATCACTGCTCTTGAACTATCATTGGATATACGAATAACTTTATATGAACTGAGGATATAAATTTTTTCTGAGATATCATTTATTAGTAAACATTCAATAATTGTCAAGAAAAAATTTTGGATTCTGAGGTTTCGAACCGGCTATACTTAAGTAAATGATGAATTGCAAGATAATGTTTCGTATATCCAGGTAAATGGTCAGAGAGCGGTAACGCAAGCATTCTCCAACCAAAATGTATTCAATATTGTAATTGTGCCAATCCTCACTAAGATTTCCCCTTTTCTGGGACCTTGTTTATTATGCTATTGACCTAAAATTTGTTATGAACAATTTTGATACATAGTATTGTGTACATCTGTTATGAATTTCAACTTGAAGTCCCCACTTGAGCCTAAAATATCGCAAGTTGAAATCGATCTCAGAGTCCTCTTTGTATACGTAGTATTGTCACCAATACGATGTCACTCTTATGTCACCATTACTTGTGTCACTAGCAGTAGTCAAAAATTATTGTTATGAGCATGAAAGTATGTTACGGTGGGACTATTTTAGTTAATTTAGATTTAAATTTAGATTTGTAACTTTATTGGCTATGGTTGAAAAAGTTTGAACAAATAAAATACATACATTTGAATAAATAGTGGAGAAAATGTAATAAGCCATATTGTGGGGGGGGGGGTAGGATTATCAGAGGGGACGAAGTAGAGATTTCTGGCAAAGGAGGAGGAGGCAGATTATGGGCACGGGGAGGCATCTTCTTAATCTTGATCTGCATTGTAGTTTAATAACCTTATTAATTGAAGATTAAACGTATTAAACAAACTTAATTATACTCCAGTACATCATTCATAACATTACTTACCTTTTACCTTCAAATGTATCACTGGATATTTGCGGCTTCACCGGGCTGCAAGAAAAAAATATTACTGAGAATTTATCGTTATACTAAATAATTTAATTAATTAACTACTTACCATAAATAATTAAGCTAATGCTGGAGAGACTGCATCGATCGGTTATCATTTGTCCCTACAAAAAATTGGATTGTTGGAGTTGAGGATTACTCATCACTATTTTGTCGCTCTGTCCAGTTTGTCGTAAAGAAAGTGCTTCCTCAATCTGAACTGCAACTAAAGCTTTAATTGACTCACAAGGGATACTTCCGACCTGTCCATCGAATCCAGGGTTCCCACTTATACCAAACTGTGCAGTATATGTATGCGATTTTTCTCTAAAAGTGAAGAAATTTCCGTGTAAAACTAACTTTTCCTCACGGTGTGAAGATATCTGTGACGAGCGGTGAGTGACTACCGGGGTCACTCACTGCACTTTTTTCTCCTCCAATTCACTACCTCTCCCCAATCGTCCACCGCTCGTCACAAATATCGTCACACCGTGACGAAAAGTTAGTTTTATACGGAAATTTCTTCACTTTAGGGGAAAAGTCCCATATATACTGAACAGTTTGGTATAAATGGGAACCTTGGATTCGATGGACAGGTTGCAAGTGTCCCTTGTCAGAAAATCAAGAATATTAAACAATCTAGTTATTATGGAAACTTAATGAATTCAAACCTACCAGTAATTAAAAATAAAACATATTTGCTCTTTTTTGCTATTTTTTTTGCACAATGCAAAATCGGGTAAATTTTTATGTACCTAATCTTGAAGCTAAATTTTAACTTTACATGTAAATATGCATTTTTAGCGGATTGTTAGTGCAAAAACTGCAAAATATACTGAGCAAAAAAGCAAACCTGGATCCCCATTAGCTGAACAGATTGTTAAAAACCCTTGAATACCTATGAAAAATCTGACCACAAAGATCCTTCACGGAAATTCCTTCATATTCGTATTTACCTAGAATTTCAAAATATTTACCCGTCGATGGTGGCGAGCTTTCGAATACAATGTAATATGCTCAAAATATTTAGTTATTAGAACTTCAAGATAAAACTAAAATCTTGTTCCATTTTTGCCCATTTACTTTCATGCTGCATGAAGCTTCCGGCGTATGACTCGTGGTCTGGCACAAGGGACCCTGAACGGACCCCTTACGTTTATTGTCGTTTTCGACCCATTCCTGAAACAACTCCAACAAGTGGCTAATCTGTCTCGCCTCCATGTGTGTGGGTTTGTGGATGATGCGACAGCAGCAGCCATTGAATCTACCCCTGATGACCTCACCACTACCGACCTACTACATGAAGCAACCCGAAATATAAAGATGAGCCTAAATGTGAAGAAAACGGTGATAGTCAAATGTGACTTTTCGAGAACTAAACCCAGTGACCACTGGCATTTCAATCTCTTAGGAGAAACAGTGCCACAACAACAACAAATGAAAGTGCTTGGGGTTATTATCAACAACAAATTAACATGGGATGACCAGGTTATTAGCATGGTGTCCAATGCGTCGAAACGCTTTTGGGCACTAAAAGCTATGAAAAAGCTCGGATTCCAACCAATCGAGCTGGTGGCGTTCTATAAATCCTCCATCATCCCAGTACTGGAATATGCATCGCCTGTATGGGGACATGCACTCACAACCCAACAAATGGAAGATTTAGAAAAGATCCAGTGCCGTGTTTTAAAAATCATATTTGGAAGAAGAGTCAAAATATTCTCTGTAGAATATATTGAGCTTCTCGATAAGTATGGTCTACACCTTCTAGATAAGCGTAGAGAGAATCAATTATTCAAATTTGGTTTAAATTTACTTAATAATCCCAAATATAGAAACTGGCTGCCCGATTTTAATTCCAACAATTCTAGACTTAAAAAGAAAAACTTTTTTGTTCCGTTCAAATGTAATAGGGTATGTTACCAGAATTCCACTTTACCAGCTATTGTCGATTTACTAAATTCTAGATTTCGAGAAAATGAACAACCGTTTTCAAAATATGTTAGCAATGATCCATGAAAATTGCCCTAAACTGATTTTAAAAATATATTACTTGTTATATATATTCCTAACTATACCTTCCATTTTTTATCTATATGTTAATCTTTCAAATCTATACTTAATTGATGACTAAGCGAGCCCGTCGATGAATCTTTATGATGTATTGTTGCTCTTTACTGATGAATAAATCTAAATCTAAAAAAGGTATATGTGTAACATATGGTATGTCGTCACTCACTCCAACGTTAAATTTGAATAGTCCGTGTGGGTAGCCCTTACAAGATAGAGAGATGCGGTAAAAAGCATTAGAAGCCCCTTCAATTTCTAGGGATAGGGTACGCACACGGTTTTTTGAAATTTTGTTTAGTTATTGCCCTATTCACCTTTCTGTGTCATGTGTCATATGGTCCTGGGGACACTAAAAACGTTCTCAAATGGTCAGGGTGCACGGTATATAAAAACGGTTAGCACAATAACATTCACAACCTATTTGGGCACAATAAGTGCCTGATGAGGTTTTTTGATATAATGCTTCCTTAATCCAGGAAAATTAAAAACGTCCATTCAGGACAGCGTCAGCCTCAAACGGGTGGAGCATAGACGACACGCTTTTTCGACCCAATCTTTATAAAATCGTATTCCAGATGGTCATGTGGAGTTCACTGTATGAAATTTTTTTCGAAATTTATATTCTACAAAATTTATGATCAATTTCGTTAAAAATTCCTCATGTAATGAAAAAATGGATTCTTTTCCGCGGTTTTACTGCATAACTTGTTTTAGAGTTTGTAATGGGAAGCCAGGTTTGCTTTTTTGCCCAGTTTTAATTCCCAACCTCTCAAATTGCCCCTTCACACTTCGCTCCATATCGACATGGCACCCGCGTAATTTGAACCCATTCGACAATGGCTTTCGATAGACCCATACGGTGAAATTCATTTGTTTGACTTTTGACCTCCCCCACAAGGTATCTGTAAGGTCAGAGACGTTGACGCCATTGACTTCTGGGTTATATTTCCTTCAAATTTGATACCCCACATGACGATCAACCTCTAAAAACACGGTCATGACCTTCTTGGCGACGTAATGACGAGACCTATGACCTCCATCGAATCTCACCTGCGCCTTGACCAAACAAACACGTTGGATGTCCTAATTCGTATCCGTTCAAAAATTATCGTGCATACGGACTGTCCGTCCGTCTGTCCGTAACGGACAGACGGACGGACAGACAAGGCAACACCAGAAAGGGGTTTCACCCCTTAGTAATGGACTACCAGGGGAACCACTTTGCGTAACTTTTGGTCAACCAAACCCAACTTTCCGCATGGACATATTTATTCTTAGGTGACTTTCCAGCCGGAATGCTTAAAAATGAATATATTAGACTGTTGCCCGCGAGTATTTAGTAAATTTAGAGACAAAATGAGCCACAAGTGCAAACCTAGGTCGTATCGATTTCACTGGATTTCACAAAAAAAAGCACAAACTGGTTTTTGGGTGAGAGAATGAATATAGTGTAGCTTTTTAGCCCGACCCAGGGCTTATGTACCCGTGTTGTCCGTCCGTCCGTCTGTCCGTCTGTCTCGCGATAACTCTCTTATACCAAGGTTGCAGTCGAGTATGGTACATGTAAAAATATTAGGTTTTTTTTTCAAAAAACGGGTATGTTAAAATTCTCACTGTGACCTCAATTTTTGACCGATTTCAAAAATTTAAACTGTTTTAGAAACCTCAGAAAATTTGGTTCATTTCCTATTCCCAAATTTTTTAAATATGACCACACCCACAAGAAATTAAGGTCACAAAACACATAAGATTTTTTGGAAAAAAGCTCTAATTTTATTACATGAACCATAATAGCGTTAGGCAGAAATTGGAACAACTGTACTTGGGCCGCGTTATTTATGCTGCTAATGATGGTATTGGGTTCACTTTATCGGAGATTTGGCTACTTCCGTAACAACATTGGTGAGGCCAACAGTTCCATTGACGTTACAGGATCTGGCGAATTCCCCTCTAGTAATTACAACACAAGCGTCATACCCAACTAAAAACGGGGATCAAAGCAATCTCGTCTATAAGATAAACGAAGTTGTATCTAGTTGGGCTGAAGATTTAGTCGTAGTTACCAAACTGAAGAAAATTATAGGTAGAATTTTTCTTACGACGCAACCCACAATAGACTTCGTAAATGCATTTACTAGCAGGGCCAAAGTAAGCTGTGACGCTGGACAATGTGAACATCCGTTGGGAGATTCTATGGAATTTATGGATACCCTAGATCGGCTGCGGGCAGTAGTGTGGTGTGTGGATTCGACAAGAACTCACATCACGATTATGGGAAGGGAAGAAACTCCATTTTTTGACAAGCGTATCTGGCTAATCAGGAAGTATTTTTTGTCCTCCGATTTCCTTACTGGTATATAATGGCTAGAACAGAGTGGAGTAATAGCCGTCTGGCAGGATCGAAGTGATTTATTACTGGACAGGGAATATTATTATTTCTTGAAAAATGTTGAAAAACTAGATACCTTTCGTAAGATTCTCGTTCAAAGGTGGTTTCACATGAAAAAGCGTATTCACGCCCTGTTGGTTTTTTCGGAAGTTACCAAGGAATCGTTAAACTATTGTTACGTTTTATTCTTTAGCCTGCTGTGTGGGGCACTGCTTATGTTTGGAAAGGAATCTTCTAGCATTACGAAAACTGCAATTTATATAAGATGGACATCACTAAGGTATAGCAAGTTTAGATGTAGGTGCAGACGTACATAACTTTAGGGCAAGGTGCGAGAGTATTTCATTGTAAAAACTTTAGCGTATTTTGAGTTCCATGTCACTTATATAAAAATGATAGGACCAAATACCAGATATTTCATAAACGTAATGATACAATTCCTGCTCCCTTTCTAAACAATGGTCACGACATTGAACAAGTGACTTGCTTAAAATACTTGTGAGTTGGAACTGGACTCCTCACTGAGACTTAAAACTCACTATGACACTAGAAGGAAACGTTTATCTGCTAATTTAGGATATTTATATGATCTTATAAGATATCTTACTGATACACTTTTATAACCGATAATCCAATGCCGAGTAAAACTAAACCCGTGGAGTGGTGTGGAGATGCACGACGCTGTGTGGGGTTGCGAGCCCAAAAAGTTAAAACATTACTCGGGTTTTGGTATCAGCTAACACAAATGTGAGTTACGCTGTTACTTCGCTCCGGGTTCATTTTAGTAGCCTGATTAACTTGAATTTGGTTATTATTAGTTAGTTCTTCTTACTTTTTTTATGCGTAAACGAAAATTCCTCGGAACCCGTGATTTACTTTGAATATTTATACATATATTAATTGACAACTTATAATTAATTATGTTCAATATGTTGTAATAAATTTGTTATAACTAAGTCTTGTGATTATGTATCTGACGGATTAATGCTTGAACCACAGCCTGTGGTTCGCAAACTACGATTCTACTACTTTTAAAACCCAAACCCCCCAAATTGTGTTCAATATTTAACAGAGTTGCATGAGAATTGCCTTCCATTTACTGACCAATGCAAAAATTTATTCGGGTCTGTGTGCTGTGAATCCCTTGCCACATGCGAGTGTGAGGAAACAGCATCCCAATATTACAGCGTTCCATATCGATATCAACTCCATGACCACTGCCTTCCAGAATCTAAGAATTAGAATGACGAAACTGTGTTCAGGTTGACGGATAGCACACTATTTTCACCACTTAGTTACATTCATTGTAACGGTTTATTAAAGTATTTAATTAATTACTGACATATTTTTTAGATAATCCTGATGTGAAATCCGCAGATGTTGACATTTTCCTATTCGTATGTTTAATTACAGTAATTAAATAATATGTAATTCAATAGATGGGCTGCCAGATCGCCGACATTTTTAATAGTGGATATTGAACTAAAAAAGAGATAGCCCCATTATTTAGTTACCTCCTCTACTTTATATTCTCATTATTTAAATATGTCTCACCAAAATGAACGATAGCACGATAATGATTCCTTTCAATCTGGGGTCTAACGTTGGCGAGAACGTGACGAGAGGTGCATCCCCTTCCCCATCACGACCCCATGACCCGACCTTCTCCCCATTAACTAATATCTCGTAAGACCCTCTGCAACAACAGGCAAAAAAACAGCATCCCCAGCAAGAAACTTTAACCTTTTTCATTGTCACAGTTCCACCTCCCGTGATATTCACGGTAAGAGTCTGCGCACCGCAAAAAGCCCAATTTCTTCCCAATGCGGTGTATGGCAGAGGCGTGTGGCGATACCTTGAAGCGAACACGCCCAGTGAAGTGCTCCCACTCCGAATATTGCTGCCCTTTTTGCAAAAAAAAACTTTACAGAATTTTGACAATTTAAAAGAGTACTGCTAAATTTTTAGTGTTACCGACAAATCATAGGTCGCCGTGACAAACTCGATGCCTTTGTTGTCCGTAAACATCATCGTGATAGCTCGTGCGATGTCAAGGTTCGCAACTACTTGTTCACTGTAGGAAAACATTTGGTGGTCCTCGGCATCAGACGCGTACCTCGTTGTCGGTCCTGGTAAACCATAGGTGTAAGTTGGCATACATGTTAACATTCATTCAGTTAATGATGAATAAATAAATTATTCATTCAATATTCGAAAATTTAATGAATATTGAACAAATATTTTATTCTGATTTTAAAATAAATGAATAATGCATGAATATTTCTTTCATCATTCATTTTTTAATCGATTGTTATGGTCGATGTAAAAATCTTTGTTTCAATCTTTCCTTTCAATCTTTGAGTTTTTTTTCTACGTAAAATGCGAATGTTAAAATTTTCATTGCGACCTCAATTGTTGACCGATTTAAAAAAATTGAACTGTTTTAGAAAATTTGTACAATTACGTCAATTCGGTATTCCCAGATTTTGAAAATATGACCAAACTCCTTGAAAATTAAGGTAACAACACACATAAGATTTTTTTTAAAGCTCTAATTTTTTACATCGACCATACATAATACACAGGGAAAGTTGAGAATTTTTAAAATAAATAATGAACGAATGGTGAATAATTAATAAGTACTGAATCATTGATAAACATTTTTTTTACAAATTACGAGTGAGTGAATTAGGAATGAATGTTCTTTTCAAAGCTTTAAATGAATGAGCTTTGAAAAAACTTTTTACCGGATCTTTTAATATAAAATGCTCCCAATTCGTCATCCAACACGATGAGAGGATGGGTTGGTAGATGCAGGACATGATTGAGTAGTTGGTCTTCTTGAGAAATCGACTGCATATAAATTTCCTTGGAAGACATTTGAAAAGTAATTTGTTAGGATGCGACACTGAACAAAATATTTGTATTGTGGTTTCTGCTACGATACCGATTGTACACTGGTTACTATAGGCGTGCCAATAAAAAATACAGATTGCGTTGGAAGGGTTATATAGATACTGTTATTTGGGTTGAATGGTGGTATCTAACAAGTATTGGGTGCCCGGATAGTAGACATCCATTTACAGGTATATTAATAAATCGCATGGAATTTAGAAAGAAGATAAGCACATAGTTAAGCCTGATGATCATATATATCATCAAGCAGTTTCTGGCTACTTGCGTTTACAGATAATACAGCTTATCGGATTCTTTTATCGTAATGTGATTGGATTTACAGAAATAATCCGCCTGATGCTCACTTTGCATACAATCTACGACAATTCCTGGACATATGTAAAGCGTAGAATCGTAGAATCATTTCAACGTCCACGACCATTTAAATGTATTGATTCATTCGTAATTCGAGATTTCCGTTTTTGAGAGAATAACGAAATTAGTTAGCCTTCTAAATCCCTTCCAACATTTTATGAACACTGAAGGGTTCATAGTAAAGAAAATTTGGGTAAAAATCTAGGTTTGGGTAAAATCAGCCCAACCTTATAAGTATGACTCATATGCATCCTTGTATATGAAAACTTTGCACCTGGGCGTATAAATATTAAGGTTGGTAACCAGACCAACTGTTGCATCACCCAAAATTGTGTTTACCTTATATAAGTAAATTTGTCTCGAGTTGCAGTAGATTTTACTAAATTTATTGTATTGTGACAACATCTCCGAGTTGAATATATTAACAGATTCATCATTACCCAAATTTGATAATTTTTTGACAGTTGATAGTTTTTTCTTCTTGTTGAATCTTGTCGAGATGTAGAGTTCGACTAATCCAGCTCCTGTGTGTGTAGCGTCGTCCTTCTACCAATAGAGATTGAACTAAAACCAGCCCAAATAAGATTACAAGCATTTCTGAACATTGTATCTAACTCATTCTAATTTATCGTTGGAAATCTCACCACAGTGAACGATAACACGACGATGATCCCTTTCAATTCGGAAGTTTCACTGGGTGGGAATGTGACGCGAAGCGCATCATCTCCGCCATCACGACTCAGCGAACCCACCTTGTCCCCATTAACTAATATATCGTAAGAGGGCGACCCACTACAACAACACGCAAACAAACAGCACCCCCGGCAACCAACTTTTCTCGGTTTCATCGTCACTATCCCACCCCGTGTAGGGATCGCGACAAAAGTTTGTCTGCCACAACAGCCACACCCTGCCCCTGTTGTGATAAAGGGCCCCGCCTCGCAGCAACCTGCCGGATTTAGCACTCCAAGGTGAGCGTCCACAGTCCGAATTTTTCCGCCCTGCAATTGGTAGTTTATACCTCGTATAAAAATGAAGTACACAATTTTTGTGTTTACCGCAAAGTCATAGGTCATTGTGATAAATTCGATCCCATCGTTGTTCGTGAACATCATCGTGGCTGACAGGGCGTGCACTCGATTTATATGGACCTTCTCACTGTAGGAGAATATTTTTTGTTTGTCCTCGCCACACGCGTAACTCGTGGCGTGCCCTAGATTCAATATAAAGAAATCAAATTTTAATAAAATAAAAAAAATATGCACAAAATTATTTACCGGATCGTTTAATATAAAATGAGCCCAATTGACCCAATAGGCGGTGAAGGTATGGGGGTTCGCAGATACGATTAAGTAACTGGAGTGGTTGTTGGGAACATGGCTGTGTGGAAATTGGGTCGGAAGACATTTGCAATTTCTATTTATTGGGATCACACTGGAAACAATTGCAATTTCTTACAAAATTAGGACTGCACAAATTAGTTGTGTGAGTTGATATAAAAGTAATCGCATGCATTCCAATGGGAAGCTCAAATATGCATTTATTTGTGTTATCGGGTCGCCACAGATACATAAATCCATAAAACATGCTCTTATCTTATGAACCGGTGATCTGCTGAAGTAAAATAAACCAAATCGAATTTGTTTAATCAGAACGTCGGATTTAGATAAATAATAAATCGTTGCAAACGAAATGTAACAAAGAGGTGAAACCAACCGGAAATGTCCCTGGAGGCGCGCCCACATCTTCCTCCGGTTATTTTCTACCATTGCCTTAAATTGATTGTCCCGTCTCATTTCTCGCCAAATCGACACGTCACCCGCGTAATTTACTCATCCTCAATCACGTCTTTTGGACGACACCCAATATGGCCAAATTCATCTTATATACATACGCATATGTCAACATAACTACATAACATACACCATATAAGTGCTTAATTAATTTAATCAAATATGATAAATTAATGTATCATATTTGATATAAAATTTTATATCAAATCTTAATATCATGTCGTTTATTGTCACGTTTTACCTGAATCTTGCCGTATTTCCCGAATTGCGTGAATTGTATAAAATTGTTAACATGCTAAAAAACTCATGATGTGGCCCCTTTTGTGAAACCTTGATAAACACTTATCAGAAATATTTACTCATTAATCCTGTCTACATATCGTGTGGCATTCCCATCGCATCATGAATGCATCGTGGAAAGGATGAAGTGAGATGGTGTCAACTATCCTTCCACTCCAACCCGACCATGCACTGAGAGAGTGCAAAAAATAGAAACATTGTTTGTGTCTACATTTTGAGTTGACGACAACTTCTTGGCCTCTTCATTTACTGTAGCTAAATAATTGTATGGCATTAATGTAGGCTAGATTATGGCATATTTTGTAATGAAATTGGGTGATTGAGGATGGAAAGAGAATGGAAAGATTATTATGAAGTGGGCGTTAAAGAGATGAAGAACGGTTAATAAGGCACATCTTCCATTACCAAAATAAATATATTGTCTCATCACGCCTCGGTTCATTATCTCATGGACTTGTAGTTTTTCTTACATCATCTGGGCTTCACACACACACATATTCCGCTGTTTTCTCTGGAAACATTCATTGGTCCTCCCACGAACGGGGGAATGCTCACAATATGAACATTGTTAAACACAGTTATGACAGCTTTATCTATTTGACATACTAACTACAATAGATTAGTAAATACCTCTTATCGCAATTTTAAATAAATAAACCCAGTTACTGGTTAGTTCTGAGTCATAATTACTGATAATTTTTCTTTTGTATCTATACAGTAATACATACATACATACGTACTAATATTCTGTTTTTATCTATGCAAGATGATAACTTCAGTCAGAATAAAACTGTGTGTTTCGTGAATACGACCCGTAGTTTCTGCAAGTAATTAACTATTCTACCATATGTAAGTATACTTTGTCAAATTATTTGAACGAAATTAAAGGAAATACTTTCTGCAGTTTATCATAACCGTTAAAAATTAAAGCCATACATATTTGTTTTACATAGATACTAACCATGGAGTGTCACGCAGCTATGCAAAATGATGTGGTAGTTAAAAAAAGTTTAACTAATTAACATACTGATAATTACTGATAGGAAATATTTGTCGGAATAATATTTTACATATTTAGGTTCTAAGAACCATTTTCTCCTACTTGGACTTTAACAATCTTAAGCAAGTTCGACTAGTGGACAATAAGTGGAATTCTCTCTCTGAAAAGCAATTTGTGAATAAAAGTCTGGTAATAAGAAACTTTTATAATTTAGACAATTCATACAGATAAATAATAATGAAAATGTATGAATTTTATATTTTGAGGTGAAAAATTGAATTTTTTGGTAACAAATCTTAAAATTAGCAAAAGCCTTGTTGTTCTTTTACTTTTACAGGTTTCCATAGCACTTGGTCTAAATTATTCAGAAAACTTAACCAAGACAACAATTGTTCCATATATTACCCTACGAGGGTACCTACAAGCACAACACAGAAGTCTTCCTATGTGGGAGGTTGAAATGGGCCAGGCATTCGGGGACGAGGTTTCTGATTATTTCCAGAAATTTAAACATTTCAAAGTCCATTACGTTGGTGCATGGAGAGCATCAGAGCAATATGCAATTCAGAGGGAAACTTCGTTAAAACGTAGCCAAAAATTGTATATATAAATACAGACTTAAGTTTTATATATATTAAATATATAAACACATTCAATTCACAGACTTGGCTCAACTTATCGAAATTATGCGACGCCCAGACGGCTCACTACGGATTAACTTTGAGTTTGGCAAAACAGATAACGAGCAGAGATATGGTAAAATTATTCTGGCCAGATCCCTCATTTGCATAACTGACACCCGCACAAAATCGTATAACCGAAGTTAATATTTATTTGTTGCATCGTTTAACTTGATGTTGATGTCATACACGAGTAACATATAAATTCTGACTCATAGAACAGTGGCGAAAATGATGAAAATTGCAATTGACATCACAATTAGTGCTTTTTAAAGACTAATCAAGACTTAATTCTTCACATGTGTAAAAGTAATTACTTTTTGGTTAGCTACTTTATAAGTGTTATTTTTTTTCTGGTGTATTGGAAAATAATTATTTAAATAAGGGAACGTCCATAAATTATGTCACGCAAAAATGCCGATTTTTTAGACCCCCCCCTCCCCTCTTGTCACGCGTTACAGCCCTTTTTAACATGTGGTGCAAGTTGACCTGTGACGCAAAACTTTAATCCCCACACCCACCTCAGCCGTTACATAATTTATGGATAAGCCCAATGCATTCCTGGCCTAAATTTGGGATTTTGTGCGATTGTCAATTGTGCAAATGAAAAGCCTGGCCATAATTATTTTACTGTGCGTGTCAGGTGACGGGGCTGCCATGGTGACCAGTGCAATAAATAATTGTTCTAATGTTACTATGGGTTTGAAGATGAGATCTTGTTTTAATGACGATTATTACGAGCCGGAACCGGAATTGGTACTTGATGCCTTTCCTCCCGGTAAGTGAATTTTTAATTTTCTGGTGATAATTTTTTTAAATTAATTTTTATTTTTTTAAAACTAAGTGATTCGTATTTATTAAATTAGAAACTTTGCAAACAATGCTAAATCATAACGATTACCTACTTATGTATCATCCAGATTTTTCGTTTTACCCAGATATTCTACACTTTCTTAGGTTTCTACATTTCTTTTTGTTTGATATCTAGAGACTAAATTCAGTACTTGTACCAGTATTGAAATAAACTCGGCTCAAGTTGAAGATACCGTCTTATTTTTCACAAATTTGCAAAAACTTCAATTTACGTCCAGATGTTATCGTGATGTTTTCCCAACTGTGATGGATCGTATTGTTCAAAATTTGGACCAGTTTGATAAATTGACGGATATTCGATGCGAAAAATCCGTCCTCCTAGAAGTGAGTTCAAGTTCAAAAGTTGAAAGAGATTTCTTTTGTATAGCATAAATGCTAAAATTACTTATTGAATTTACCAGAATATCGGATCCCTGAAAAAACTTTCGACCCCCTTGAAACATTTACATCTAAGGATACGATGCAATTTCTACAGCGGAATTGATGATGGTTATGCAGAACTAGAAGAAATCCTGGCTAAGCATAGCTTGACCTTGGAAAGTTTACAATTATCCTTCAAATGGAAAATTAACTTCGATGATGATGACGAAGACTATGACGAAGGAGTAAACTTGGGCAAAATTAGGACGTCAGATATTTTCCCAAAACTGAAAATTCTTGCGATGACAGTGGTAAATTCGTATCGTGGTTCTGTTTCAGACTATCCGTCGCCAGAAATGCTGGACATTTTCGGACTGCAGGAAATTTTCGAGGTGCAAATTTAAAGGTTTTCTTGCACAATTTATTTCAAATCTTTGCCATATTTGACTTTCAGGAAGGGAGATTTTACACTAAATTTCCATCGCTGCAATTCCTCAAGCTGCACCACGCCGTCACACCTGGATGTTCTATACAGGGAAATATATTTAATGATGAAGCAGTAACTCGTTTCCAGAATTATGGAATTGTATCAATTTCGCAGACTAATTTCGTATTTGCAGAGGAATGTACAACAGACGATGAGAATGATTATTAATCTTGAATCTACGATGATTCATCTAGTTAAACGGAAGGATTTTCTTGTATGGGATTCTTATGGCTCACGTCCTGACGTTTTAAAATATTAAGCATAAGTATTGTCAGCAAAGTAAGTCAATATAGCACAGGATTTCTTCGCGTCAAAAGGCCGGGCCCACTTAATAACATTGGGAGCGGGCTGAAATTCAATCTGAACATCTGCTATTGTCATATTTTTCCGACGATATTCTGTGGAAGGGCAAATGCTTCTTCTCTAAATTCGTAATTAGTAAACTGTTGGAAAACCTTAAATACAGGGATGTAGATAAATACATACACAAATACTTGAAGCAATAAATGCAATTGAAATGTAGTTAACAGAGAACTTGAATCCATGTTTCCAAATAACTATAAAAGTTTAGCTTATCGTTTTTAGTTGTCTTTTTACGCATACTTACTACGTATTAAAAAAGAAAGTACATAATGTCATGATTCATAGATCAAGAATTTGGGCAAATACGAATGAAATCGTTACTTAACTAATCCCACACGATACCTAACTTAATTTCTAGACCGTTTATCATCAGCAATAACGGAGGACATTTCCTTTAATTAGTCTTTCGGTATTAAAGCTACAAGGTTAGAGTGACCAGAAGATTATGAAAAAAATTGATCTACCTTCCAGAAACTGTAAAGGGTAATAAGATTACCAAATTTTTTGAAGATATTCAAACGAAAGTGACGACATATTTAAATAGTGAATCAACTGAAACTAGTAAAACATTCGTAGTAATGGATGATGCACGGGCAATTAAAAAGTACAAGAAAGTGCTCAAGGCGTATGGTACCCGCCTGATTGCTGATAGCAAAGGGGAGACACCTTTTACTCACATAAGTTATGCGCACGCAAGTGGAAACATCATTCTGCCAATTTTTCAGAGACAATTCGGATACCTGTTAAGTTTTGGATTGCACGATAGGTGGACTAAATTTAGTAATTTGTTTAATCCACCAAAACAGAAGTGTATATCAGATAATGCCAGCTACCATAAATATTGTGCTATGGCTATGGCAAACGCAAGAGAACAAATTATTTTCCATGAATCTGATCCTGTGTCACTTAAATCGGCCAGGAATCTGTTCGCTTTGTGGGGTGTGTTTGTAATAATATCGGTTTTAACCATCGTAAAGGAAATTTGGTACAGCAATATCGTGCGCCATGTAGTTAATGGGATTTCTAGATTACCAATATTATATGGGCTTGTCGTAAATGTCTACAAAGACATTTTACGTAGACGAAGTAATATAGCATTTGTATTATGTGACTGAAGGGTACTAATCTTCTAACTCGTACATATATACTTAATTTTGAATAACCACTCCCCACACCTTGAGCTAGCTTATTCTGTTTTGTTGGATTTTGTGAGGATCCCGGCGACTTCTACTCGCTAGGGAGCAGTGCAAATAAAAATATGTGCAACAATCAGTGATATCTTCAATTATACTACCAATTTATTAACACATTTCTCTCTTTTGCAAACGCAAACTTTGAAAATTACCTGTCTCAAAATCAAGGTCCTTCCCGTTTACTTGGGCAACCACAGTTGAACGAAGTGTGAATTTTTCTAGCAAATGCATGCATGCATTTCCTGCAGGTCTGTAGAGGGCTAGGTTCTGAAAACCCCTTAGGTTTAGAGCCGAATCTACATAAGGTTTTGGTCGATATATTACAATTAGAGGATTTTGCGTATTTATTACTTATGGCAAACGGAGTTAAATTTTAATGGACACACCATAGCTCAGTTCAAATTTGTGTGACCAGGTTTCAGAGTTGAGGAAGAAAGTCGTGAACTGGAAGTGTGCGCACTTCAAATACAATGATACGTTCTCCAGGAAATCAACGCATGAGATTTGATTGCGACATTTTCTAACGTACTGATTTATGTACGAGAAATTTGTTTTCCTTAGGAGTAGTTGTAAACCAGACTCTTAAGAAAGTTGGAATCATAATTTCATTTAAAGTAAATCTTGACCCCTTTCAAAAATGGACAGTTATTCATGATTTAAGTACCTCTGTGTGAGCATCATTATGCGAATTTGGCTTCATAACTGTTTTCATAAACTTGTTCAAATTGTGGCAATAATTTAAATAATCACACAATACAGCTTTTTAAGCCTAAGTTTAATATTATCCTGTGTTACTTCATATTTGAAAATAAAATTTAAAACAAATTTTGACCTTACTATTTCAAGCTTTATTATAAATTTTAGCTATCAAGTACAAATTGGGATTGGTATTAATATTTAGAAATATTTTAGGGAATTTCTAACCTAGTTTATAAATACATAGATCAGGTCGTCCTGACTATGGTCATCCTAAAGTGGGATGGAGGAATGATGTTGTGTCAACAAGGTGTCAAAATAATATAGAAATGACCAAAGTTGTGGTGTGCATAATTATAAATGAATACATACCAATCCATACGAATTTACGTGATTTATTTTAGGACAGGGTTCCACTTAAATTGAATGTCTAAATAGATAAATTATAAAATAAAGTTCGACACGGTTTTGATATGGGGAAAACCGATGCCGTATTCCAAGCATTCGGAAACAAGATAGCCTCGTCCACTATTTTTTATGAAATATTATATTAACTTCATCTCACATTAAGAATGGTGTATCAGTACATGCCAAAAAAATTTCTGAAGATAAGAATTTTGAATTATAATCCATTGAGTCGCCATTGCCCCTGGGATTTCTAAAAATAGTGATGGTTAATACCCCACATTCTGATATCACTGAACTATGTGGCACCTTTGTGGCATTCTGATATCGTGGAAAAAGGGGTAAAGGTCAGGGCAAAAAATTATGCAACAGACGTTTTGAAGTCTATTATGAACCCCTTAATCAAACCTAATTCAAAGGACTCCCAGGAATCGTCCAGCAGGACTCAAAATCTGCCCACAAGGCGAAAATGACGAAAAAGTGGCTAAAAGATCATTTTTCAGACTGCATTTCTTCTGCGGATAGGCTCTCATCGTTGCTTGACTGGACTATGCCATGTGGTCTAAACTGGAGGCAGATGTCTCCTCTAAACACCACATAAGTGTGGACGTTTCAAAAAAATCGTTGACAAGAGGGTGCAACACTTTATCCCTAAAAAGCGTGCGTGCCGTCATTGACTGTTTTTTTTTCGTCTCCAGCGCTGTATTAATGCACGAGGAGGAAATTTCGAAGACTAAATGGCGTTTCTTATATCAAATCTCACTGGCTTTCCAATGAAATAAATTTGAAATTTCTAATATTAAAGTTACAAAAGTTATGTAGGTTTGTTTTACTAATGTTTGAGGGTCCCGGACTAGGTATGTAGTGAATACATACCTAGTCATACAATTTTGGGAGTATGATTAAATAAAAATTTATGTACGATGTGGAAAATCAGTGTAAATTTATGAACGAATTTTTAAACCAAAATTTATTTATCAGATTTTATCAGAGTTTTTTTCACTCTGACAACCCTCATTTTGCTAACAGACAGGTTAATGCCGTAAGTAGCATTTAATAATAGTAGAATTATGCTTTATATGATTGTAAAGAGAAACCAAACGAAAAACTAATGTCTAAGTACGGTATAAAGAAATTGTTTGTCTTTCCAAAATTCGAGAGAGGAAAACATTTGCATTCACTATGTCTAACATTTTCTTAATTCCCATTGTTGTGCAACGTCAGTAGGTTTCAAGTTTGCTATTTGCAAATTTAATCCACCATTCCCTAATTCGATGCTACATATTGAAACATCTCTAGGTTACATTTCTTGTGAAACAAAATTCAATAAACATTTACCCAGTATTGCGAAGGCTGCTGTTACGTCTGTTGACGTAATGGTCGTTGTGATTATAGATATTCCAGAAGTTGGTGCCACTTACTGGAATAAAATGCCAGTCGTCGTCGGGATTGCTTACAACATCATATATACATGGGTGGTCCTCTGCACCAAAATGACATGTCAACACTTTATATTGCCAAGATCCTCCCAATGCAGATTGAATAGAGTAAGTTGAATTAATTTCTAAAATTGGAATATATAATTTGTTGTGTATAACGACCTCTCATGTACTCTGCAAACAATTTGGTGTACATAAATTCTCGGTGTAGCCACATATATGCACGGCGAGTGGTGTAAATTCTTCACTCCGCTGTGGGTGAAATATACACCGAGCAGAGTTACACGGCGGGAATCTGCACCAATTTATTTACAGTGTAGCCGAATGACATATATAAAAGTACGTTTGAACTCCAGCCTCCATACTTCCGACAAGTTACTGCAATTGTTTCTGATGGTATTCGTTTGAACTCCATTGCCATTAATAGGTAATTCGTCATAGACGTCTAAGGCCTAAACAAATATACACATACATACATAAAAGGCATTTTGCGATATTTAACACCAGGAAAATTAATTGTTGAAGACGTCTAAAAAAATACAACCAAAACAATTGCATCTTTTTAATAAGTCAATTAAAAATGGCATTTGTTTCAATAAGTAAAAGACTAAATATTAACTCTTTCGGCTTTGTAATGTTTAACTAAACCACGAAGACTAAACATTAAAGTATTTGGGAATTTACGTTATTGGGCAAATTGGATAATCTGTAAATGTATCGGTAAGTTCGTGAAGAATAAAAAAATATTATCCATGCCGTTTCCGACATGTATGTATTTATTACTCTTTTTTCTTAGTGACGCAAATACCAGACAACAAAAATTCACTATGAAAGCAGTTACCCCACCCAAAAAAAAGTGATATTTAAGAATTTTGAAGAACCAATGTTAACCGATTTTGATGAAATTTGGCACAGATCATTGTTATACAATTTAAATAAGATTGAGCAGACGGTTTTGTAAAATTTTGATTTTTACTCGACTTATGGACAAAAATGTGCGCTCGGATTCGCTTTTCTATTTATTACTCTAAACTGGAGAACTGCACAATCATAAATTTTTGGAATTAGTTACAGCAAGTTCTTATGAAAATTTCAAGACCGATATGAGCAAAATCGGTTCAGAAATAAGCAGTTTTTATCCATACTGAAATTATGCTGTTTTTGCATAGGAATTATTAGAAATAAAAGTCTCATATTGTCACGGACAACTTGTCAACGCAAAACAATTGCTCAATTACAAGTTATAAATAAACAAGGTCCCCAAAAACGGGAAATCTTAGTGACGCTTTGTGCGGTAACAGGGAATAGATACAGTTTCTTCCACAATATTTGCATCACCACTCCGCCAACTACCTATTCTTTTAGCTTCGCACTTGTGTGACACCAATTAAAATATTTTAAAGTTATAGTGAACAATGATTGGGAGTATGAATTCGAGATTATGAAAAATAGTGGCGAATATACTAGTAGTTTTTAAAGCAGATAGGGACACAATTATTTAGCGGAGTGTTGATGCAAATATTGTGTAAGAAAATGTATCTATTCCCTGTTATCGCACACAGCGTCACTAAGATTTCCCGTTTTTGGGGACCTTGTTTATACATTAAAGTTAAAAGTAACTCGCGAATTAGTGGACGCTGCGTCAAGAAATAATCTTGAACTATTTCCTTTTAAATTTCAGGAAACTTTAACCAATATAGTGCCTACTGTGTTAAAGTTAGTAAGTCTTAGTTTCTTTGACTATTGTTATCATGAGGCACAATCCCGTGGTCGGTGACTTCTAAACAAGTTCTTCCAAGCAGGAAAATGGATTTTGTAAGCTTTCCACTGACTTGAAGAACATGGTACAGTGGTTGAAAATTTACTAGAATATACATTTCTACATGCCAGCCGTATGGCGGATAGTTTCCGAGATATTTAAGATTTCAAGCTATGATACCTTTAATTTAGGGAGATATTAATAGAGTAAATCCAGGGTACTAGCGAGGTACGAAAAGGTCGCTACGAAAAGGTTTTTATCTATGTAGCAAATATTTATGGCACAGCCGATACGATATCGTATCGATTTAACCGACAATCCAAGTACACTTGGCCTTCGACTATTCGTACTCAAAAAATAAAACTAGCCTGGTTTAACTTGGTTCTTACCTTATTAGCTTGAACGTTAATAATCATGTAGGACGTTCCGATTTGTATTGGTGGTGTTGTTGTAGTTGTAGGGTTAGTCGTGGTTGGTCTAGTAGTTGTTGTAGGCCTAGTAGTTGTTGTCGGCCTAGTAGTTGTTGTAGGCCTAGTAGTTGTAGGAGTGGTGGTTGTGGGTCTAATACTTGTGGTCGGCGTGGTGGTAGTTCGAGTAGTTGTGGCCAGCGTTGTGGTAGTTGTGGTCGGCCTCGTGGTGGTTGGAGCAGTAGTGGTCGGCGTGGTTGTTGTTGGAGTAGTTGTGGTCGTAGTTGGAGTAGTTGTCGTGGGCACGGTTGTGGTCGTAGTTGGAGTAGTTGTCGTGGGCACGGTTGTGGTCGTAGTTGGAGTAGTTGTCGTGGGCACGGTTGTGGTCGTAGTTGGAGTAGTTGTCGTGGGCACGGTTGTGGTCGTAGTTGGAGTAGTTGTCGTGGGCACGGTTGTGGTCGTAGTTGGAGTAGTTGTCGTGGGCACGGTTGTGGTCGTAGTTGGAGTAGTTGTCGTGGGCACGGTTGTGGTCGGAGTAGTTGTGGTTGGAGTAGGAGCACTACATTAAAATTTTAAAAAATGCAACACTTTATTTCATCAAATACAAGATTAAAGGTTGCTAGTTTTCTAGGAGTAAATTAAATTAAAGACAAAAATTTAAAAAATAAAACAATTAGAGAATTAAATTAGATCTCTTAAATTAAATATTATTAAATTTGATATTAAATTTAAACTAAATTTGTGATTATTATATTTATCTCGATCGACTATCATTCAACTCCCAAATTCGTTTCGATAATTAGTCTAAGTGAGGTTACTTATTAATTAGCGGTTCACTTCACATAATTTTCGAAATAATAACAGCATGTACATAATCTTTGACTTACCTGGTCCAACCTTCAGTTGTGACAATTACACAAGGAGTAAATGCTTCGTGGTTGCAGACCAGTAAATCCTGATCCCATACTGTTCGTGGGGCACAACATTGAACCATAGCGTCACCGTTTCCACACTCGATGAATTTCCTACAATCATACGGATATGGAAAATAAGTTGGCTCGTTTTCCCATGTTGGACATCCATCATACTAAGGAACAAATTCACAAATTATATGCAGCTACATATATAAATAATTATTATTGAATTTTTACATCAGGTAAAATTATCGATTCGCATGTTGATCCAGTACTTTGGGAGTTTATATCCCCGACGTGAAGTAGAAATGTGATACAAAATGAGCCAAAAGTGCAAGTCTTTTTCGCATCGATTTCACCAAATTGCACATAAAAAATTACAAATTCAGTTTTGGGTGGGGGGGTTAATATAGCATAGCTGTTTTTGAATTATATTCAACCACACCCCCTTCAAAAATTGGGGAAGAAAATTGGGAAAAATGAGAAGGTCAATGTACACTCGGTACAGAAAGAAGTAGATACCAACTTGCATTTGACATTTGACTTCCCTCATGAATATGAACATTTTGATGCATCAAGACTTTCAAAATTCGAAAATTGGCGGTTTTTCGACCTACATATAAATCGTTAAAAAAGTGACCTTAGCGGTCATTTCGCGGCTGACAACCTGATGCCAGATTTTTCTTCGTCAGAAGTGCCACATTTTCCGCTTTTGTTGTCCGCTGCGAAATTACCGCTACCATGACTTTTTTGGGGTCAAAGTATCTGAGGGAGGGGCTTATACGGCAGGAGCCGTAACAATGTATAGGTATTTATGATATACATAAAGGTAATTACATATAAGCTATTAAAACAGCCTCAAATCGCCCCAAATTTAAAACTTAAGCTTTTCTGAATTTATAATGATGATATGCATTCGAAAATTAACGCTATGAGGCTTATCAACGAAGTTATCAATTTTTCAGATAAGCAAATTTAGTTTATCCAAATCGCCCCAAACTTAAAACTTAAGCTTTTCTGAATTTATAATGATGATATGCATTCGAAAATTAACGCTATCGGGCTTATCACTGCGCTTATCAGTTTTTAAGATAAGCAAATTTAGTTTGTCCAATTCGCCCCAAATTTAAAACTTAAGCTTATCTGAATATATAATGGTAGTATCCACTCGAAAATAAACGCTATCGGGCTTATCACTGCGCTTATCAGTTTTTAAGATAAGCAAATTTAGTTTGTCCAAATCTCCCCAAATTTAAAACTTAAGCTTATCTGAATATATAATGGTAGTATCCACTCGAAAATAAACGCTATCGGGCTTATCACTGCGCTTATCAGTTTTTAAGATAAGCAAATTTAGTTTGTCCAAATCTCCCCAAATTTAAAACTTAAGCTTATCTGAATATATAATGGTAGTATCCACTCGAAAATAAACGCTATCGGGCTTATCACTGCGCTTATCAGTTTTTAAGATAAGCAAATTTAGTTTGTCCAATTCGCCCCAAATTTAAAACTTAAGCTTTTCTGAATGTATAATGGTGACATCTACTCGAAAATTAACCCTATAGTGGTTGTCACCAGACTTATCAATTTTTGGGATAAGCAAATTCAGTTTATTTCAATCACCCTAAATTTTAAACTCCCGAATTTATGATGACGCTAATTGGAGATGTGGTGTCTACTAGACACTGAACAGTAATTTCGGGTTTCGGGTTTCGACTATGCTTAGTCCAAGAATTATTTAATAATAAATACTTCCTGCTGGAAAATCCAGTCATCAGCGAGATAGCAGCAATCTCGGACCCTGGTCCTTTGCGCCTTAGGTGATGTTAATTTAATTATCGCGGGATAATTAAACTAACATTCTTACCAATTAAAAACAAGTCATTGATAGCCAACTTATAGTAATTAATTTGCGATATGCTATCATGACCAAATTACCAAGAGATTTTATTTTAGAAGGATTGAAGGAATTAAATAAGTTTATAAACTTATTTTACAACAGGTTTATAAAAGTATTTAATGATATAATTTAATAAATAAATTTATTAAAAAATATCTTCGGGAAACAGCCACCAACACCACCATCCGACGACAATCTTCGCCACCACGTCCTTCTTCTTTCTTGAAACTACGAGGTATCAACTTCATCGCTGATATTGTCCAAAGAGTCTGTCTACTTCTTCCTGCTCCTCCAGTGAGATGTTGATTGTCCTTCCACGTCTTGATGCTCTTGAGGGGAAGATCTTCTTGAGAATTTGTCCAATTTTGATGTAACAGGACGCGTTTTCAGAAATATAAGACGTTCCACGTTTTGATTTTGAGGTGTTCTGTTTCCAGAAAGTCACCTTGACTTCTTGGTCGGCAAGATCCACTTCTTCGATGATGGCCACGTACCACTGGTTTTCGTATACACTTGCGACCCAATCGCCGACGGAGCACTCATCGATGATGACCAGAGGGGGTTGAACAACTTCGGATTCCATTATTTTCGTTGCCATCACCGTGGTGTCTTGCGAAACTTCGTAAAGGTGAATTTTGCCAGATCCAATTTCAATTCGATGTGCTTGTTGAGTTCCAGAGATTGTTGTAATTGTCTCGTATCTTGTGGTCAAATCCTTTTCTTCAATAATCTTCTGGATTTCGGAATCCGAGATGAAAATATATTCAATTCCACGAATATTGGAGCTGCACCATTGGAATAATTCTATGGCTGTTGTAATTATAGCGCCATGAAGAGATGCGGTTCTTGCTCCACGTTTTGCAATTCCTCCTTGAGCATCTGGAGGTCCCTTTTGATGAGCAGTTGCGCCAAAATGCCATTCTGCTGGAATCCCAAAGTCCTTTAGATGATGGTACAAATTGCAGAAGTTGAAGAAATCTTGATGGCGTGGAATAAAAGTTTTACATTTTCATGGTGAATACACACACAAACGTTGTGGTATCCCTTGCTGGTTAACGAGATGCACTCTCGTGGCCGCAGCATCATGAATGAAGATTTACCAACTTTGGAATCCGGGTGTTGAGTCATGAAAATTGCGTAGAGTTCCCGCAGATTGCTTAGGAGGTAACGTTTCTGCTTATGTTCCCGTTTTCCTGTTTCCTTGTTCTTGACTGATAAGAAGTCCTTCTGTCCTGGGCAGGCTCTTGAAACATCGTCTTGATAGTAGAAATCTTGAATTCTAGATTTGGTTTCTTGCGTAATTTTGCATCCAGATTTTGGTTTTACGGGAGGAAGAATGGTGTCGGTTTCTTTTCGGCGTTTGCGGCTCCCCTGAACCAAACGTTTTCCAACATTGAAGAAATCTTGAGTTTTCTTGATACTCCAGGACGGCGGAACCAAGGTTAGCAGTTGTTTTTTTCGGCTTGAGAACATCCTTGCATTCTTGATTTTAAGTTCTTCATTATCCAGTTGAGATCTGTAGAATCCTGCAGAAGTTGTTCCTGATTCATTTCTGGAATTGGCACTCCGACTCCTTGGAATCCGGTTGTGATTGATTTCGTAACTTGCTCAAGTTCCCTTTGCACTAGATTACCTTGTTGTTTGAGGTTTCTTCTATTAAATGTTATCTCAGGGGCTGAGGGAGAAATTGTCTGCCTGATATTGGTTAGCGTTTCAACCAATCTCTTCTTTGTGGCAGGTTCTGCAAAGGTGGGATCTTGGGACTCTTGATCTTGAGTGTCTTCGTTATCACCGTAGCAGAATTTTGCGTCCGTGTATATTGGTTGATTTGGTAGTAATCCAACCGACTTGAACTCGGTGAAGTATTCTTCCGCAGTAATATACCTCACACGTTTGCCATTAAACTTATCATTATGTTTGGGATGACAACATTTGACGGCATTTCTCCGCCGCCCAAAAAATTCACAGCATTTTGTGCAGAAAATATTATCACTAAAAACAAGTTTGAAAGATAAACCTGGGAATGTCTGCCTAAGGGACTGCATAGTTTTGCTCTGCATGTTCTTGTCGAAAACAGGGGCGTTGTCTTCAGAGCACGTCCAGCCATGCTGACTAACCAAGACTCCAATATCGCAGAGACGTGCTGTGAAATATAAATAGACAAACTAAAATTTTTAATGCGTTGCAACATTTACATAATTATCCCACCCATGAATTTTAATAAATATCCTCTCTCTCTGATTTTTTTGCCAATTTTCATAATTCTCATTAATTTTAATAAATAGCCAGACTCTGAATTCTTTCATCAATTTTCATAATTCTCGTTAATTTCAATAATTATCCAACCTCTGATTTTTTGTAAATTATTTTAATTCTTGTCAATTTAAATAAATATCCAAGATCTGAATTTTTGTTGCCAATTTTGATATTTCTCGTTAATTTAAATAAATGTCCACCCTCTGAATTATCTTACTAATCTTCATATTAATTTAAATAGATATTTAGGCTCTTTCAGAAATTTTCATAATTCTTGTTAATTAAAATAATTATCCAGGTTCTGATTTTTTCCAACTTTTAAAATTCTCATTAATTTCAATAAATATCCAGCGTATGATTTTTTTGCCAATTTTATAATTATCATCAAATTTAGTAAATATCCAATTTATTGTTTTCACATTATAAATCTTTACCAAATTTTACCAAATGTTACCAAATTTTAACCAAATTTTACCATATTTTTAATTTCATAATGTTTCGATATTTTAATTACATTACAGCATTAAATTTAAAAATAAAAATTACCTTCCGCGCGAGTTGATGTTTCTGCATTTTCTGCAAAAACAACCAAAAGGTTAAAAACTGGCTAAAAACAAAAACAGCCAGCATGCCCCTCTCTTCTGGTACCACCTCTTTTTTATAGAGGAACATACTGGCAGAGGTAGCCAGCTAGGTCCCCCCACCGACGGACGCCGGTGGGAGGAGTGGTACCAGGAAAGGAGATGATCGATGCAAAATCATCTCCCACGCGAAGATTTGCCCCGAATTCCCCCCCCACACCCACCCTCCCTATTATTAAAAAGGGATACCTACCTTGATTTTCTTCAGGGATGATGGTGGGTTTGATGACATCCGGTGGTGGTGATGATGATGACATGGTCGAAATTGGGGGTGGTGCTGGTGGTTGTGTCGAAATTGGGGGTGGTGGTGGTGGCAGGGGCGAAATTGGGGGTGGTGGTGCAGGTCGCTGCTGCGTGGGGGTGGAGTGAGCCTCCATGTTGCACTTTTTTTAAATATTTTATTAAAAAAACTTCCACGTTTTTTAAATTATTTTTATTAAAAATTCGGAGAATTTTATCAACTGAACCAACTCGTGTAAGAGATGAAAAGCATCTCAACACGAGTTGGTTCATAATCCCGGTAAACAATTTGAAGAGAGTGAGAAGTGAGACGGACCACCATACGGCACTGGCAACGACAGTCAGCGGTGGTGGTGGATACCCACCAGAATCCGAGTCTCACTCTGCCTTTCGCTAAATAATGGAAACTGCGTTTGTGAAACGGTTGGGCTGGTTCAGCTCTTAACGTGAATTAGCCAGCCAAGTATACATGTAGAGTCTGGAATCTGACTAAAATTTTCAACAAGCAATACTGATCCACACTCTCTAACACAATCACATGTTTCCAGATCTTACCTGTTACGTATTTTGAATTTGAGTACTATTTATCATTATCATAAGAAAATAATCAAATAATTTTGTGTTTGCAGGTAGAACTTTCTCGTGGTTTTAAGTGTTTTTAGAATTAAGAGTCGACTTCACTTGGGTATTTTTAAAATTTAGGGTGGACCGCACTTAAGGTCAATTTAGAATGAGTACGACGATATGTTTTCTGTTTGGCGATGGTGGGACCCCAAAATATGCTGAGTTATTATTAATCTGATACGATTGACGGTTTAATTCCTATGATTACGTATTTTCATTTGACCTTTACACCTTTTAAATTATTGGATTGATGTACAATTTTATTACTGTGTGCATTATGTAGCTTGATTGAGATTGAATAATTTGCTTGTTATTTTTTTTATTATCAGCAGTGGTGGAGTGGAAAATGCATGAATCGCTAATTTCTTCATACAAATATCACGTACTGTATATAAAACTATTATAAATAAATTGAAGTTTCGCACCTGTTCCTGACAGATTTTGTACATACGTATGTACAAAAGTGTCATCCAACTTTAATACGGAGAACTATCCAATTTTTGTCCTTTTTCACACGGACAAATAATCCTTCATATGTAGGTAAATAGTTATCGGAATCGCAACCTAACAACTAATCGATCGATATACATCATTTACTTTACTTTTCTCCTGTGTAACCATCTACTTGAATCGAAACATGAATAGCTAGCATATATTGACACGCACTATAATTTTCCTTCATCCGGTTGTTCAGTCGGAGAAAGTGGCACAATCCTCTGTTCTCATTCCTCTGCAAGACTTCCTTAGCAACGAATCACCCAACAAGACAGAATAATAAGAACGGTAGGAATCTTTCTGAGGATTGTGATAAAATGGTGATGAATCCCTGCTGCTGTGGGTGTAGTCTTCAAACTGGGAGCGAAATTATTGCAGTCCTACAAATTGTGAGACAGCAATGATTTGAATTAATACTGATAATTAATTTATTTATTGACCCTGTCTTTGTGTCCAGATTGGATCAGTGATCATTCTGATAACATCAATTCTTGGTCTCCTTGCCGTGACAAAGTACTATGACGAGGTGGAAAAAGAAGTTAAGAAGGACCATGAGGATATTTCGAGTTAATATTGGAATTTAATTCAAATAAAAAATAAAAGTAATTAAATTAATCAAAATAATTATCATGTAACACAGAGACGGTGTTGATTGTTGTGATGTCCCTTCTCCTTGGGGCAAGTTGCGTAAACTTGATTTTGGCAATTGTGCTGTGGCAGGGGGCAAGAGATGTAAGAAAATAATAAGTGAAAAAACAATGAATGTTTATTCATATTATTGTCTAATAACAGATTTGCTGATCTCGATCCATATTTTTTTTAGAGAAATCGGACAAAATGCTGGATCTGGTTGACTGTCAGTATCATCGTATTGATCTTAATATTTGCGAGATTCATCATTGATTGTGTGAAAGTTCGAACGGGACATGTCGTAGACTTGGTGCAGGGTGGGGTTGGCATCCTTGTAGATGCGTATTGTATTTTTATCGTGTACTGTTTTATTCAAGAGGTGAAGCAGGAACAACAAAGTGGTGAAACACCGTGAGATGATTGGAGTAATAATGATGGAATAATTTTAAAATTTTAAGTTGATGGATTAGATATGATAGAGATACTAGGCAGGTTGAGGAAGCGTAAAATATTGTGATTGTACTGTAAATTTGACAGTAGAAGTACAAGATTTCCTATCTCTACAATCCAAATTACAGTCACAACCACAAAATTTAATTTAAGTTAATTATTTGCCGATGAATTCCTACAAGGTTGTGCAGGCTTTGCACAACATGTGTTTAATTGTAAGTTTGTATATTTTATTGAATTGAATTGTATTGTTGTGCGTCATACTTACTTATGTAAATAATTAGTAAATGCTGAATTTTCCTATGACCAAATGGAACAGGGATTTTAAGCCTTTGCACACATGCATGAATATTATGATAGTGTGGTTAATACATATGTAAGATATTATGTACTGATAACGAGATTATTATGTTTTATTCTAAACAAAATACAATCACCGCAAAAGCCTGTACAGGCAAAAACCACACCAACAAAAACGACCTGGGATGTAAGAATTGTATAAAATCTGTTTCAACCTGTACCCCAACAAACGATCTTTTTCTGTACTCTCGAATCAGATAAATATTGTAAAAAAGTGTTTGTTAAAAAAGTAATTCCAGATTGTTTTAGAATTCCATGAAACGATAGCATTTGTTCGTTATATTTACGCTCAAATGCGTTGAATCATTGGCTACCTTATTTAATTCGGAATTTGCTTTATGCAAGTGGGAATATTACTTAAAATTTCAAATACTTGTTATTTATTCAGACGGAAGAAATAAGGCTTCGTTGAACGAAAGTATGTAAGCTGAAAATTACTTACAAGCATTTAAGAGCATAAACTTAATTTGAGATTTTGAGCTTGGCGGCAGGAAGGAGGGGAGGAGGGCGGAGGGCATGAGGTATCCGACCTATGAATTTATCATTACATGTCCCCATGATGCAATAATATATCGGTTTTCTAATGCCATGGCCACTAACGAAGTTAGGATGAGAACCATATATAATTGGAAAATTGATAATAAATGGTGATATGTGATATAATCCTTGTTATAAGAAGCTAATGCTTTGCTATTCTCACGGAAATATATAACTGTCTTCCCATAATCGAAATATAGTTCCCATTGCAGGATTATTCCCGACTGTTCTAAGAAAGTTACAGTACGCTTAAATTTGCTATAAAAAGGAGAGTCCACAATGTCCGAAAATGTCTTAATCATACAAACATTTTCTATCCTATAGCAGTTGTAAACATTTTGCAATTTCCTTAAAAGAACAGGTTGTACATCATGATTTTGCAGAAGAATTCCATGCTTCGAGGTTGTTGGATTCAAATGCTTGTCAGCCATTTCAACTGCACTAGAATTTGTAACATTAATTCGGTTAGGGTAGGAAGGCATACTCCATGCATTCAAATCCTGCGCAATGGACTCACGATACACAATATGTTCCGTGTTATCGTTGATCCTGTATGTAAAATGGAAGCCAGCATTCAACATGTCCTGCATTGTTGTATATGGCCGATATTGCGGTGGGGAGATTAGCGTTACGGTAAGAAAAAACTCATAGTGCGCCATCAATACAAAGCTAAAAAATAGTAGGACCATAAGGATACAATTTGATTTGTTCACCGGCCCATTTGAGATCCCTTGTCTGAACAAGCTTGCAAATATTTGGAAAAAGGAGTCCACTATGGCATGTAGAATGGCATTGAATTTAATATTCATACTTAAACAGTACACCACACTTGATGAAACAACTATTAGAATTACTATAGGAATGAATACAGCCCACACAACATTCTGAAATGGAATGGCCCAAGTTAATAAACCGCTGTGGGCAGACCACACGTCATAATTACAATAGACAATGTCCAAGCCCATCTGGCGGGTGAGGATAATTCTGTTCGACATTGTATATGGATAAGTTTCAAATGTAAAAGTACTAAAGTACCAACCGAACCTTGAAACTATAGATGCGTCATAATACCCAACCATAATGGTTACATTATAAATTTCGCTAATTGTCAAGAGTAAGCGGGAGGGCGCATTACAAAGGAATTTGAATGAGCTATAAACCAAGGTCTGATTGCAATTTTTGATATGGGGTATTGCGGGCGTTGGGGCAAGAATATAGATCTCCTTGGCCCAATAGTACCGATTGATTTTGAAATTAGAGGCTTCTTCAAAGTTTCCTGGTGTAAACCATGGTTCGTCACATATAAAGCAATAGAACCACAATTATATGTTTGTAAACTGCCTTCTCCTTGTTTTGACACGAGTGCAAGAAACATTCTCATATTTCCGAACCCTTCTATTGGTTCCACTCTATAGCTGCTGGCTGATATTGAGACCATTATAAATATGGCGTCGTCTCTCGCGTAGTCCCGCGTGCTTTGTACCATGTTGGATTTTATATACAAATTCGTGAACTTATACTGTATGATCACGTTAATAGCGCAATCTTCCTTTACCTTAAAGTCTAGCGCATGAGTGGTGCTGTTTGCCTTAAGCTTAGTTGCACCGTAGAGGTATTGCATAAAAATCACTTCTCGATTTCGACTATTTTCTAGTGCTAGATAGTCCAGAAGATCTCGTTGTTCATATTTATCGGAAAAAAATGCTCGATGAAACTTTATTGTACATTGTCCAAAAATGTCAAAACTCCCGATATATACATGCATTAGTGACGTAGCACGGATAATGGTTACAATGCAGAATAAGAAGAAATATGTCAACATTTTAATTATCTATTGTTAGGAAAGTACAGATTGTGTCGAACTTATTTTAGTTTTAAATTTGTGTGGTTCAATCAAATATGTACGTTCATGCTTCGTTGATGTTCCTTCATGTTGACTTCAAATCTAAGATCAAGGGAGATTGGTCGACGTTAGTTTTTCTGATTCGTATTGGCTTGAAGTGAATGTCGATAAATGAAGTATACATAAATGGGGGAAATAAAATTTGAACACATATGCTAGTAACATATTATTTACAGGCGTCTTCTGACGGACACCACATAAACTTATTTAGTATTATAATATTCATGTCGAATTTGTGTCAATACTAAATTATGCACAATGCCAGTGAAAATGAAAATGAAAATGCCAGTGAAAATGAAAATTAAAATGCCAGTGAAAATGAAAATTAAAATGCCAGTGAAAGCATTAAGTTATAGAAATTCTATATATCGTGACTGATTAGGCATTGAGAAGTCAACCTTGCCATAAAGACAGGAATATTGGCATGCCAACTATTTGTTTAATGAATACAAAGCGTATATCAACCACGTGGGTTATATAGTGCTCTCAACGGGCGGCCCGGGCTAATGTTAATCATATGGGATGGATCGGACCGGACCGGACTTTACCATAGGCCCGTGAGAGCACTAGGGTTATACCGTAACAGATATACCGTAACATGCAATGGTATCGCATGACCTCGAAAATGCATACATTATTGAGGCCATTTCACTACAATTTTTAACATTACTTATCAGGGATGACCCTGGACAGATAGATAGTCGAGTTGAGGGGTCTCATTGTACCAATTGTAGAAAAATGTTCGGGCTCCCCATTAGGATCCACAGAGGTAATTAAAGGTATTCTGGGACCCCGCAACTCGACCATGACAGAAAACAGCAGTCCAGGGTGAACCCTGATAAGTAATTTTAAAAATTGTGGTGAAATGGCCTCAAAAGTGTATACCTAATTATTTAATATTACACATATGCATAATTGTATTAACAAACATGTAAAACCAAGTAAATTGCCTTGACTTTACATGTTTGTTGAATTGAGTGGCAAAAAATGGAGTTGGATGTGTATATTATGTAATTCCAAAATTATTTTATTTTACTTTTATACTTAATTTCCAAAGGATATAAATACATGTATAAGATTCATGTATGGGGTCAGATAAAACTTACATGAAAACCTGTATATTGTATATTGAAAAGCAAATCCTGAAAGTTTCTGACATAATCGTGTTCAAATTTTGACAAGGAAAATATTTATTTAAATACCTATATGCTCTCTATAAACTATATATGTGTGCAATTAAGGATTGCAAGAACAAATATTTAGTAATAAGTATAAGCAAATTACACATTGTTACTATCTGAAAAGGCCTTTCCGTATCTTAATTATTTATTTCATCAACAGTTTTTGCAATTTTGCTAAACTGCAACACGGGTAGTAATAATATCTACAACATTTCTCACATTGTTCCCACCCTCATTATTATATTTAACCTTTTCTACCCGGTATTTTAAAAAGTTTGCATCCTTCCCACATTCTCGATCCATCTCTCCTTCACAATTTTCAAAGAAAATAATTAAATCATTATCAGGAACCTTAACTTTACCATATTCTTGAACCGATCCGCCATAAATTATTACAAATTTATTTTTACTTCCTTCCCACACCTCAGCCAATTCAACGTCATCAAACCCATTCAGTTTAATACACTGCAATCTTGGAAATTGCATTCTAAATTCTTTCACCGTGTCCAATACAGTCTCACAATTCCCAATAAAATGCACTCCAATCCTAGGAAAGATATACAGTTTCAAATCTGTCAAGGGAGCATTTGCAATATCCCACCGCGTTTTGAGCAAGCCCATCACATCCTCCGTAGTCCCAAGGAGGGTCCATTTCTTTAAAAACCAAGAGAAAAATAACTTCATTTCCCGCTCCGCAAACGGTTTCCCGACACAAGATTTACTCCCCGTGCCAAAAGTTAGGGGATAACTCTCCCCCCAGTGTCGTATCTGTTTGGGTCAAATTTCTTAGCGCAGGTGAATGGATCTTCGTTCAAATTTTGGCCGGCAATATTAAAAACAATACCGTCTCCTTTATTCAGCTTTAAATTGAAGTCTGGCCCCTCTAGAGAAATGTTGTCTTCGGCCTGTCGCAAAATTACGGGCCCTACTGATACAAGACGCATAGATTCGTAGTACAGGTTTGAGATCATTTGCTCAATTGTATTACTTTCAGGGGTGGAAGAATCGTTAATTAGTTTCGATAATTGATTCCCAACTTGCGGATTGTCTGTGAGAAGTAGGCTTGTATAAAACATTGTTAGAGACGACGTATCCGTTCCAGCCAGTAGCATTTCGGTGATACATTGAACAATTTGATTTTCATCGTTGGCTTTCACTAGGGCTAAATCTTCAATGAATTTTGATTGGTTTGTTGTTTTAGCGCTGGCAAGAATTTGTCGAGATAGGGAGGTGATTGCATGGCAAAATTTTTTGTGGCGTTCTTCCTCCTCGAGTTGTTCCGTGTTTGGGGTGAGAAGAAAGAATTCCCAGGCTTTAAAGTAGTTTCCCACCGTAGCTTTTACGTTATCCCGCCAAGACGGGGATTTGCAAGAGTCTAGGCCGAATAACCCTTCCATTGTCATGGTTACGGTATAATTCCTCAAGAGAGTCAAGATGGAGTTGGGTTGTCCCACTTTTATGGATGGTGACAAGGTGGACGTAAAATAGGAGCTAAATAATAAAAAATAAAAAATTGTATTCAAAGGTTTATTAATTTTTTGTAATTTTTTTTGTCTGAGTACTAATGAGTTATCGAAAAACAGGATGATCGAAAATTTAAATATTTAAATGCTTACAAGAATTTCTAAATTTCCATTTCAGTTTTTCTACTTACTCGCTCAGCTCGCCCAACATCCTCGCTCCGTTTGCCAGCGTTGATTCAAAAATTGCGCGATTATTTTTCCACGCAGCGACATCATTATTCCAAATAAGTCCAGTGTGTAACATGTTGAGCTTCTTTAACCCACCCTCATTTCCAAACCGCTGTCTCAAACGTTTTGTGTGCTTGGTCATGAAAGCGTTACTAATTTTATGATCTGTAACTACCACAATGCGTTGCCCGAATAGGTCAAGTTCTGCAAGTTTTCCATACTTTTTTGAAATGTGTTGACATAAATCTGGAATCATCCAAAATCGATGGCGAACATTGTAATTGCAGATAAAATTATCTACAAAATTGATTCTTTTCGTAGAACTTGTCTTAAAAGGATTGACTTGAGGGCTATAGTGAAACAGGAACTGTAAGAAACTTGCAAAATATTTTGAGCCTCTTGATTTACGAAAATACTTAACATAACCGAAGAGAAGGCTTACAACTAAAATTATTAGTGCTGGAAAAAGCACCATTATACTTGTAACTGTAGTTAATTTTAATTTATGCTTTGCAAAAGACCAGACAGACAGAGTAAGAGAGATAATGAACCAAAATGGAACTTGAGGCCACTCTTTTTATGTCAGGGTTTACCTTTATATTTGTCAGATATGCCAACATTGCGCTCGATCTGAGTGTGTGCCAAAATTTGGCTGAGGATTCCTTTCTATGTTAATAAGGTTATACTACTTTTATTGTAAAACGTTTCCTTTATATAGCGAAACGTTTCTAAATTATTAATTTATAAAAATAACGTTCCAGTCATTATTATTTGTAGTAATATGCTTTTGTATGAAATATGTGTGTATGTACTTGAGTTGTTTTTTGGGCATGCATATTCCTCATGTCTCACAATGCGTCATATCTGTGATGATAAAATATGGTTCAACCTTGACAAATTGTATTCAATTAACCATTCAATAATCCTCACTTGTTGCCACGTATCATGCAACGGGGATTGTTTTACTTTGAGTTTTGCAGTTATCATTTATTACATAAGTACCTTATGATATTGCCAATAATATTTCAACACGAATCAGATTAGTGAACAGCCTGCCATAACGTGGCTTGCGATAATTGCTTATTCATTTTAATATAATCGAATGGAAATCGAATTTTAATGTAAAAACCATCCTTGATCCATGTGGTCCGACGTTTTAGAAAGTAACAGCTTACATATATCGAGAAAGACTTTGAAAAACAATGTTGGGGAAATGTCAAATCTAAAATTACTTGAAGATTTACTAATTTACTAATTTTATTATGTATTAAAAATTAATAGGTAGAAATTAATAATTAATAATTATTTAATTGTAAATTATTTTTCTTATCCATCACCAATTAATTATTTTATTAAGAACTTATTTTTATTTTACATGAAGTTATGTAAATAATATTCTACAACGACTATGTTATTCTATTACACAAATTCATATTGTATTATGTGCGACCATCTTTAGTCACCCGTTCCTTTCCGATTCTTTCATTTGTGCAATCACAATCACAAAGGTGACCACCGTGCTTATCATCTGAATTGTAGGGAAGGATATACTTTTAAAATTTAAGAAATATTTACATGAATTTGTTTAAATGTCTCAACCTCACCGTTGCAATTAGTCTTCTGTCCAATGTGAAAAAGTTGCAGGGGCAAATTTCGAATTTTTCGAGACCGAGAAGTTGTCGTAATTCCAAAATAAGGGGACAAACTGAGGAATCATAGGTAGACGGTTTACCTCCAGTGGTCGTCCCCAGGTAGGACAAAGTTGCGCTAATCTTGTCACGCTAGAATTAAAAAAAAACATTACGTAAGTGCAAAATTTACCTCTGCCAATTTCTTCAAGTCTCCGAATTTTCAAATTCTCGCCGGTAAAGGCACGAGTTCCAAAATGGGCGCACAGATTCAACCCCAAGACTCATTACGGGGTGACTAGAGAATGAGTATTTTAAATTTTAAGGCGTCTAAAGTTAAATTAAAAAACTACCTTATTCTTGATATCCTGCCCAACCTCAATGATCACGACCATCTTCAAAACTCCAAACAAGACAATCACAACCATTGCCATCGTCTGCTTAATTGCTTGACCATCTCCAGCTGCAGAATTGCTTAATCTGTACACCGTGACGAGCAAGATGTGGACGGCCGTTATTAAAATAAATATGGACATGGTTCCAAAAACAAAAATAAACTGATCCCCCAACGAGTTTGCTTTCGCCAAAATTTTCATCAGATGCCCCATTTTGGTTAACGGTATTAAAAAATTATGGCTACCAAACGCTTTTATCCCACCACAATAGGGACACATTAGCGGGTGTTCGTTCATGGAGCTCCAAATTGGTGAGAGATTTTCGTACAGCGCGATGAAAATCTATGAAAAGGGAGATGAAAACGGTAAATACTATTTCACAAAGGCCGTTTGCAGCATGGGTAAATATTTCGGCGGCGAGAGGTGTTCCAGTGCCTGAAATGAAATCAAAACGTATTCAATTTATTTATGCTGTATGTTATCAATTTTGTAAGTGAAGTATGAATGTTTAGTTTACTGTTTTAGATTCCTGTTTTGCTTATAATTTTGAAAACGTTTATGTGTAATGCAAATTTTTGCGATTTTTACCAACCCAGTCCTACATATCTCTCTTTGCTACCATTTTATGAATTTTCCCTATCGACAAATTGGCAATACCTTGTACAAGCAAGTTTAGCGGGAGATATTTGTATCCCCTAAAATCTGACGAATCTTCAAACAGATTATCTAAATCCTTCGACATGACGGAAACCATGGTCCAGGCACTGACGACAGACCCGATCGAAAGGATGTAAAACTGGGGGCTAAATATTGACGGAGAATCCGCAAGTCCCAATTGACCCATAGATTCCAAGAGAGATTGGATTTTTGCAGTCTGCCAAAGAGCCATCGGATGCCAGAGGACTCGTTGAACGAAAAAGATGGAAAGATATGCCGTAAAAATCATTTTGTCTGTGGAACTTTCCGAACTCCGGTACCATTCTGAGGATTTCGTGTACCATGGGATTATTTGGAGGAAAGTAGAGCAAGAAATGGTACACAGGATGGTACACGCAACCAACGATGTGGTTGAAATTGTTACATGGCCCAATTCCAATTTTATTGGGAGGATTCCTAAGTAGCGGGAGATGGTTAGGAAACGTTGGACGGAAGAGGTTTTCATGACACTATCCTTCGCCAACAAGTTACAAGATACTGGCAATTTATGTAGTGGATTGGTAATGAACCACTTTTTTGGGGGGAAACTACATAATTATCAAATGCACTTATGTAACTGATTGGAGTGGAGGTTAATTGGACTTCCTGTCTTGAGAATGCTGTCAATTGGTAAATTAAACAATATGATTTTGGATACATGTTTCACCTATGATGAGCAAATTATCACAAATTAATCAAAGTCGGCAAGAACGCGAAATAAATTACGGGTTACATTACTATCTCATAACTTATGGAAATGTACACAAACATTTATTGATTTGTGAGAGTCAAGCAAAAAAATTGTGCAATATACGAAATTGTCCCTAATGTATTGCCTTCCTATTCAGGTATACTTATATACGTAACTAATGTAAATTTGATAAAGTGGTTTACATATTTACATGAGTAAGCTGAATCGTTCACTTTCTTGGAAAAAAATATTAAATACGGTTCTGCATATGAGAATCTCAATTTAGTATGAGACAGTTTTTTGAGATTCTACACTCAAAATAATTTTATCATCAAATCGTCACCGTGCGGAGTCACTATACGGCTCTACCACAGAGGTGATGATTTGTCTCATTTTGGTGACAAGCACGTCTAGTCACCGCGTAGTGATGTTTCATGTTACCCCAGCAGTAATAATTTGTCTCAAGGAGGTTATAATTATTATAAAGTCAGTAACAACGTCCATGGCTTATACGGTGACGATATAAAACTAAATCGTGACGATTTGGTTATATTCTGTAACCGAATATTGACAACGATGCAATAATTTCGGTATTGAATAGTATGCCGTGCAGAAATAAAATTGCCTTCATTTGGTATGATACTAACAGCTGTTTAATATAGATATAATAATTAATTTTATACATACATAATTAAATAAAAAACATTGTTAAATTATCATATTTCATTTAATACACAGGTTGATATATTATTCCTATTTTTTTTTCTGATGTGCAAAAAGTGTGGATTGTAAAACATTTGGAGATCCCAAACTCCAATCGGATTTGGGGAGCTTATTTAAAAACACACGGGCATGCCTTGATGCTAAGGTCGAGCCTCCATATGGCGAACAAGTTTGTTGTGAAAATTTTAAAATTAGACCCTTTTTTCCGTAAGCAATGCATACAAAAAAGGGTCTAATTTTAAGATTTTGACTCATACAGTGAAACTAATTACATATTTGAATTTTGCATGAAATTCTGAACATTTTCATGTTCGACTTGGATTTTCTATGATCTAAAATTGAAAATTAGACATATATAATATTTATTTATTTAATATTTATTTACATATAATATTTTATACGAAGAAGAACAACTATTGCTTGAATTTCAAGCCTTCAAATGACAAAGGACTTTTGAAATTATGATTTTTTGAACATGTGTAGTCGAATATGTATATTAATTTAAACGAATTAATAAATTTTTAATGCTTTCTACATTTAATCGCATTTTCGTTCAGCAGAGGATCATAAACCCGTTTTTGGGTTCCTTACAATAATACAAACATGGAAACCTCCTCCTCCCTATACATACATTTGCTGTCCTGAGGATTCCATTGCCGTCTCCTAGGAACCTGGAACTTTATGATGCACCTTGATATGGGACAGCATCTCCCGCTTGCTAAAAAATGTTTTAGCACAAATCTTACAAGACGTTTCCCTTATCTTGAAATGAACCCGTTTCTTATGAATTGTTAGATCCGATTTGAGATACACTGAATATTCGCAAAGATTACAGAAAAAGCGTTTCTCTTTCTCATGAACTACTGCTATATGTATGGTCAGGGCTCCCTTAAATTGACACCCTTTCCCACATATTTGGCACCTGTATAGGGTCTCTTTTGTATGCGAGAAAATATGTCGCTTCATATTACTATCTCCGGAAAACGTTTGATTGCACAGGTTGCAAGAAAACGGTTTTTCAGTAGTGTGTACGCGGATATGGGTGACCAATTCATCCATGGTCGTAAACCGTTTGGGACAAAAGTAACAAGTACGCTGTTTCAAGTTCCGGTTGTGCATGGTTTCGTGTCTGGTTAGTTTAGATTTAAATAGGAATGCGGCGCCACATATGGAACAAACGAATTTTTTAGAAGGAGGGATTCCAATTCGATGAGAGATGGTAAGGTGTCGCTTTAATTGACAAGGGTAACTTAACCGTAAATGACAATGAGGGCACTTTAGTTGTTTTCGTTCTCCGTCAGTTTTGATGTGTTCATTCGTGTGTCCTGTACACAATTTTTTTTAAAGGTTAGTTATTTCATTTATTAACAGGGTTACGTTAATTAATTGGTCGATTAGTTAATTCCAGTGGAATTTTCCACTTACAAATTGTTAGTGGATATAACTGGAATTAACCTTGGACAACTTGGGAGACTTTTACTCGAGGTAAGGTAAAAATAAATTAAATTCCAGTTACTGCACGTTAATTGCCCCCAATGGCAAGTTGAAAATTCCAGCTAATTCCGTTCCGTAGTAAATTCCACAGGAAGCCTTTTTTATTAAAATGTCAACTTACGTTTAAGGTTTGATGCTGTAGTGCTCTTGTATGGGCAGTAATTA